AGGGGCCGGGCCCAATGATCTTCTGCGGTCCCTTCCAGCCTTACAATCTATGAATCTAGGGGGGGAAGCAAGGGAGCAACCTCCAACTCTGCACCAGTGAACAGAATCAAAGAATTGGATACTTATCTTGCTGGGATCCTATGACCCCAGCTGACTTCCTGCCCTTTGGGCAGGGGGCTGGACTCGATGATCTTCCAAGGTCCCTTCCAGCCCTAATGTCTACAAAATCTATGAAGCTGTGGCAGCAAGACCCACCAACACAATTGGCCCATGTTCCCCATCCCATTCCCATCATGCTGGTACTTGAAAAAGACTCCTCTACTTCTGCAGGTGTAGAAAGACCAGAGAGGCTCCCAGGGCCTGGAAGGGCAGAAGGGATCAAGCTCTTTGGTAACTCACTAGTACAACAGGGCTTCCTTTGTGTGACACCTGCTTTGGGGACCAGGCTCTTCAGTCTCTGAAGAGATACCAAAAGCCTCCTTTGTCAGTAAGCAGCATGGCGTTCAGAAGCAGCCGCACTTCCTACCCACCCAGTGCAAGAGTCAGCACTTCAAGCAATGCTGCCCAGCAGTGGGTCATTTTCCAGGGCTTTTCAAAGCCCTGAATACTATTTTGCAATGGTAACAACAGGACCCATGCCAAGGATTCTCCCAAAACTGAAAATCCTTCAGGGAGGGGAACACGGGATGGGACGGGACGGGGGACACATACGATACACCTATAATATGGCTTTTCCTGCCCTCCTACAGAGAACAACTGGATCCCTGTGTAGAAACAAACCAGAAAGTCCCCAGCACCCTGCCATTTCCAGGACAGATCACCACATGCCCTTACATTGCTGATGTATTCCAGGGGAGTCAGGCTGAAGTTTGGTAGGTCATCAGTTAGTGTCTCGCCAATGCCACCCGAGCTCCAGCCCTAACGATCAAAGCAGAGAACCAGTCAAAGACACTTTCCACATGGCTAGAGGAAAGGAGCAAACTCACATGGTGACAGAGTAGAATTGTCCATGGCCCCCTAGACAAATCAGGTCTGAGAAATCTGTAATACGAGCCACCTCTCAAGCACTCTACACTGCTCATCGTGCAATGCACATGCAGATGACATAAACGATGTCCACACACGTCAAAATCTTGAAGACCAAAACCCCAGCAGACATGAAGCATGTGTTCAGCCCAAGGCAGAATCTTCACATCTGGGAAACTCCCAGAGGTGAGATCACCTGGGCCTGAAGGCAGCCCCAAGAGGAAAGGGACACGGGATCACTATCCCAGTCTCCCTGACAGTGCAGAGAGATGATTTTACCAGATTTTACCATGGTTCCTGCTGGATCAGAGGAACCATCCCAGGAACTCACCTCCATCTTGGAAATGAGCAACAGCTGCTGTTTTATGCGAAGAAAAACAGAATCGAATGCCAACTGGTGTGCCAGCTGGTTGAGGCGGGTTAGGGCAGTTCGAGATGCAGACAGCAGGCTGTGGTTACTTGTGCCTTTCTCCTAGCATAAAAAAGGAGACACACATATACAGACATCATTGCACTGGCCCTAAGAGGCATAAGTCAAACCATCTGAAAAGAAGGCTTTTACTTGGCTCAGCACAGACTCAAAATAGAGCCCTCCCCACAGCAGTTGGACATGTTTCCACTGGACAGCACCCCCAGTGCTTCCTGCTCGAGGTCGCACCTTTGGGAGGAAGCAGGAAGAAGAGGTCCCACATTCCCTCTGTGCCAGCCAGCAGAGCCGGTCATACACAGAGGCACACGCGATCAGTGGGCAGAGCTGCCACTGCAATGCGCAGTCCCAGAGAGATTCTGACAGAGCCCTGGCACTTCCTTCTCCCCACCATCCTAACAAGAGAGGAGAAGGACCAACGTGACCTTTAGCTGACCCAGCTTAGAGGTCACAAAGCAGCTAACCTGATGTTCAGGACCAAGGAACAGCTCTGCACAAAGAGGTTAAATATGGAAAAAAAATGCTATTCCTATGTAGGGCAAGTGTATAATACTGAGCACAGAGCTGCATGAATTATGTGTATATTAAATACCAAAAAGTTCAGATTACCTTAAGAAGGTAAGGAAGCCAGAATAAATAACCTTAGCTTTCCTCTTCCAAGCGACTGATGATGGTAAATGTACATAAATTAGATCGGCAGGAAGATAACTTTCAGGAGTCGCTTTACCCTGTTCACAGATACATGCATGAACGCTCCCACAGAATTACATTTCAGGATGGAGACGTCAGCAGGGGAGAAAGCCTTGGACAGACAATATACTAGCTGGAAACTCAAGGGGACTTGGACACAAACCTTCCAAGACCTAATGACTTGGATGGCTCCTCTGCACCAAAGCAAGCAGCTGGCAGTGTGTGACCAGAGCGCCATGCCTTGGGGAGATGCTGTGAGGCTGCAGTTTCCAGAAAGGGAGATTTCCTTCTTAGTAGTGCCACACGAATTAGGCCCGGGTGTCTTCGGAGAGAGCCTGATCCACAGGAAGCACCAGCACCAGGCCCGTCTGCCAACCTACCACCCACAAGGCCACAGTGCTTCAGAGCAGGGCTGCTCTCCTACCTTCAGGGTGTAGAGGGTTTCCAAGAGGCTGGCATGCTCAGCTGGGTTCTCTTTCTGAAGGTAATTGAATTCTTGCCAGGGGTTCTTGCCTGTGCTCTTCTTGTCAGCCAGGCTGACATCCTGCAAGCCGGACAAACTGCAGGGGCTGTAGGAGTCAGAGAGGTACTTCCCAGCTGTGGATAAAATCCTGAAACCAAAGTTTACAGACAAACTCCACTGGAGTCAGCAGTTCACTGCCCTGAACAACTGCCTGAGCCTTCTCCATGGGCCCTGGCCTCAGCTGCAGCCCTGCCAGGAACCTGCCTCAGCCCTGTCTTAGGAGGCTCTGCTGTTGCATCCCCCAGCATCACCAATGCAGCCAGCTTTGGCCTGTGAAGGAGAGTGCAACACTGAGTGAAGTGGGGAAGGGAGGGGGTGGCCTAACAGCTCCACAACCAGTGTGGTCTACATGTTTGTGCAAAGAGGGCCTGATGCTTGGTTTCACCCACTCCTCCCCAGGCTGGCAAACAGCATGTAACACATGGCTCTGCAGTGACCCTGAGACCAGCCTTGGGCCACGGGTGCCAGCAGGGCCCTTCACAGCCAGAGGAAAGGAACTGGGAAAGAAGGGCCACACACTGCCATGTGTTGGAATGGTAACACCACACAGCTCCAGAGACTGGGGGGACACTTAAACACTAGGCTTGCAAAGCACCTGAGAACACCCAAACTGGGACCGGCAACATCCTACTGCACACCCAGTTTTGGGGGGGGGGGGGGG